CGGAAAAATGTTAGTGGACTAGCTGATTTCAGTTCAAATCACGGAAAAAGCGATCAGCTCTTATCAGCGTGAATTTATGACGTATCGGAAAACGGGTGCATTATCGGCGTGCAGTCGCGTCCAACGTTTGAGTTTAATTTCCAAACTTTAATATACCGAGAGTAGAACACAGTGCCTATATAACCTAAACACGAGTGTTGTGTTTTTTTGTTATTGTGTTCAACGAAAGAGTTTTCCGACGAAGAGAGTAATAACGCTAGCAGGTAAATACAAAATAGCAATATATACATATATAAGTACCCTGTTTAATCGAGCTGCACTGCCGAGATACGTATAATGTACTACTGCAGACTGCAACTTAAGTATAAAAAACATAAAAAAAAACGGTTTTATGTGATGTTGAACATTTTTTAAATTCTTAGATGGTGAAAACTTATAACGTAGACAATAATACGCGGGTGCGTGTCTGAATTTAAAAAACGAGATACCCGCGTATTATGTATATTAATATGACCCACTCGGTGCAGCTCACGGATAATGTGCCGCTCCACACACAGACGACATAATATTGAAGCACTTAGCATAATATTATCTCAATTCCCGATGTGTTGTTATGTACACAGGATCCGCGTATTGTATAGACAACAATATTATGTATTATTATTATTATCTAACGGCGAGTCGTTTAATGTTATGACGCGATTGATAACCGCAATATTGTAAGCATTTGTACACTATTTGCGTATGGGTTAACGTATGATTCCCCACGAACGTTTGATATAACATGGTCCATTATCAAACTGCAGGCGTTTGGCGGTGATTTTGCGGAATACGAATATTATCTGTTTTTCGGCGGGATCGTATTTTTCTGCGATATTTTATGTGTGTACGGGGTGATTGTGAATTCACCGTACATGCTCACACCCGTTTTTCTCCAAAAACGCAGTTATTCGAATCGGATTTTTGGAATTTTTAAATATACTTGGAGAATGTTTAGTTTTTTGTATTAGGCACATATTATATAATGAGTGTCTCGTGATAATACAAACTTCTGTTTTTCAAATGAGAACTTCTCTTTTTGTATTGAAAACGAGTAGTTTCTCAGTTGTTGAATAGTTTTTACTAAGGACCTATATTATTTTTAAAAAAGTTTTACAGAAATATATAAAAGCTGTAATAGTAGATCTAATATTTACTATACCCGGACCATTATTAAAAATAATGAAATAAAGTTGATTGATTAATGTTAATCACTAGAATATGCTAATCACCAAATCCCCAATAGCTTACAACGTGGGAACCCTTATGTGAACCTATTACCTATTCTTAGTACACAGAGTTTAATTACTCAAAAACTACTAGTACGAATTCTCATCAAGAAAACCAAAGTTTGTGTCTCCACAAAACACTCCATATTTAGAACAAGAAATCTAAACATTTGACAAAATGGTCTTCGAGTAAATATTTTAAAAATTAGACTTTGAATAACTGCATTATTGAAAAAAAAAGGGAGTGCGCATGCTTGATGAATCACCCTGTATATAGTGTGGCATTGTACACCGATAAATGTTTTAGTTTTATCTGGCGAGTCGCAGCTTTGGGAGCTTAACCTCCCTCCCAAAGACGCATTAAAAATTCGCCCTAAAAGACATTTTGCAAATAAGAAATATGAAAATATATACAAAGCTTAAAGTAGTTATAAAAATGATTACGTAGCCGTACATATTATTGTTATTATATAGGGAAAAATGTAATATAATAATATTATATGCCCATCAGTGAAGTAAGTATATATTTCTTAGGTGTTATTATAAGTACAGTATAGGTACTTATATTTTATGCAGTGAATAAAATCGTGTGCCAATTGTATGTTTATTGCTTACAATTAAATATAGACACTGAAAAACATCTTGATTCTTGACTATTCATGCTAGGTGAGTTATACTAATATTTAATAATTAGTTACCTATTTAAATATTGAAAAAGATATTTTGATAGATATTGAAGCAATATTAAAATATTTTCAGAACTTTAAAGAAAAATACAACTACCAATAATACCTAATTATTGTATTGTTTAAGTTTTGAGGTTCTAGATTCTAAACACTTACTTGTGTTTACTTATCGTTTTTATAATTATTTAATTATTTAATTGTTTTTTAACAAATATTTCCAAATTCAGTAATAAAATAAATAGTAATCCCTATTGTGATTTTTTTTTTAACTTCTTGTTACTTCTACAGTAATATTAGATACAATGATTGAGCTCAAGCTCTTTTCCTCCAAATTTGAAACATAGATCAGGAGGTATATTATAATAACTAGTCACACAGTGGTTTTCGGTATAGTTCTAGTTTTAGGTACCGACTACAACTTATTACTACATATGTTCTGTATATTACCTAGCCCTCTCTCACGATCTTCTTTCTGAAAACGTTTTACCTTAATTCTATCGGCAGACAATCACATGTGAAAAAAAATGTTTTTGTTATAATACATTAATACCTATTATTATTATTATTATCGAACGACAGTATTGTAAGTTGGTTGAAAATTTTAAATACCCGTTTAATATAATAAAAAGCTTATGCAATTATTATAATATAATCGGTTGCAATGCTCGATAGTAATAATCGCACACGAGATAATGTGATGAGCGTTATTGCGTGACAGAATAATAATAATGATTTTCTATTGGTCCGTCGTCGGTCAATCGAGTGCCAATGCGTGCGCATTACACACATCGTATATAATATTATTATAATTTAATAATATTATTATTGTCACTGTACAACGCGATGACGACATGACGTGCTCGTTATGATAATCTGTATCGCACACACGCGTAATCAATTATTTATATGAACCTATTATATGCCTATTATTATAATATCCGCGCCCACCCATAATAAGTTATAATGAGGCTTCTAAGCACAAGTTTAGAACAACTTATATCCGCGTCGCGTCCATTGGTTATATACCAGTGTTTCACATGGTTACGATTGTTGATATCGGTATTTTAAATTTTAATATCATTTTAATATTATTATTCATAATTCAAAACAAAAATCTAGAAATACATTTAACTAGAGCATATATTATTACTATCAAATGTATTTTAACACTACGGTTGAGAAAATAAGTAACTGTGGTAATAATTCTATTCAAAGTAAGTTCATACTATAGTCAGTATTGGTATTAAAAATATCAAAATATGAATGTTTAATATAGATTTATTGCAGTTACTAGCCAATATTACAAAAAACTGATATCAAAACATAAAGGTTACCTAGAGGCTACAAGTTATTTTTAAATTGTAGGTAAATGCGTAACTATACCTAGAGTATTAAGTTTAGAAACCGGGAATTGAGCACGCTCTCAGAGTGAACTTTCCTGACTTTTAAATTTAAGTGAATAAAAACGTAAACATTCATTTAAAACTAGCCCAGGAGTACAATATCATACAATGTATTATACAATGTATTATACATTTTTAAATTTTTAGTTGTTTCTATATAATATTAAACACAAGTATCATATGATAATATATGGATCTGTTGTTAATTGTTGTAGTGTTGCGGGTCAATCGATATAATATCATATTAGATATGTATATTCGATGTTGGAACCTATACGATTATTTTTTATACCTATTCTAAAATAACTACACATATTTGTAAGACATTAAAAAAAAAATGATATCACATAATTAATATTTATCACACAAACAGACTTTAATAGTGATAACGCGTGCGCGGTGTATGCGCCATCCAAGCTATCATACTGTCAAACTCAGGTGCCTAATCGAAAAGAACGATTTGCAAGCATTTCGTCAATACTAGCTCAAAGAAAATATAGAATTATTTTCATGACGCATGGGCACAAGCACATTATTACATTTTGAATTTTCTCACTGATCCATGTCTTCGAACAGTTCGAAATAATATTAATGACAACTGTCTGGTACTATTATAATAATAACAATGTATGTATACTGCGTAATAATGTTGTACACGTGGATGGTGAATTTCTGTCAAAACATGGAGACTTGGATTCAGGTCAACAGTGTCTTGTGGGTATTTCACGTAGTTGGCATTATTGTCAGCTATATACTTCAGCAGTGTAGTAGTACCTCTGTCCGAAAGTAATGAGCACGACGTTTTTTATGCGCAAATGATTATCCACACTCATAAACGGCCAGGGTTCAACTCGAAATAATGATATATAAAATGGGTTAAAGGAGTGCTGGCACGTCTCCTGACCAAACCCTGACCCGACCATGAACATCGTTGATTGAGGTTGTCGTTGGTTTGAAATTTAACCGCGGTATCATGGTGTACGGTTGTCGGCGACACATATTTTCGGTAGGTACCAAGACGAATCGGTTTGAAAATAATGAAGTAACATTCAAAGGGCTGCCCGTCAATAGCGCCGTAATAATATTATTATCCACTAAAATAATAGTATAATTTGTTTTGTCGTCAATAGGCACACATAGATGTCACTAAAGGTCGTGGCCGACCGGTTTTCACCGTCAGATGGCAGCACACGACACGCGCTGGTGCTACAACTGCTGCAGTCGTGTCTGTTCCGGCACATGGGCAGGCAATAAATACTCAACCGTGGTGGTAAATTAAAATGTGTTGCGGGCGCTCCCCGTCTTGTGTAAAAAATATAAATTAGAATCACTAGAAGCTATACGTGACGTTTAAGGTCATTGGTGTTAACATTGATTTATTAATATTAAGTTACATTTATTAATAGTATTTACATGCAATTAAATTAGGTACGTGAAGAATAAAATATTATTTGTACCTATTATAATTTATCATTTAACCACGGTGTTTTCGCAAAGAAACCCAATGACTACAATATACGACTTTCCGTAATCCTCTTTAAACGCAGAGTTTTGCTTTCGAACGAAAGAAAAATTAAAAAATAACTATTCGAATTTATTTACTGAGCAAACAAGTATTTTTCCAGCTACTGTTGACTCGTCGTCATCCGAAGCAATGTTGATGTTAATTCTTACAATTATAACATTTTCAACATTATTCAAATTAAATCTAGGAACAAATAGAATATCAATCTTATTATTTACTTGCTTATGGTTTTACAGTAACATTTTTTAAAATTATTTTAGACCGTTATTGCTAGTACATTTAAGTTATTAAAAGTTTGAAATGGATAATTTTCTTGCTATTTTTAAAACGTATTTCGTTTAGCAAATTGAGCATATAATATACCGAATGGTAAGAGTATTTTTAGAATGTAAACACCGACTTACTACGATTGCGTTAATTATTATTTTTAAATGTTTCACTTAAACTGTTATATTGCGTGTTGAAATGTTGAATGCAATAATTACCACTTTTTGATATTTTTGACAAATAAACGAAAACACTAACATTTAACAAACTGACTGTCCCAAAATGTTAATAACTTTAAATGTATCAATAATGTCACTTTAAGATTCACTTCTGTGCGTCATATTTTTACCCAAGTACAAATTTTATTATTGCCTTCTCACATGGTCGTGCAAATGTTAGGAAACAAACTTACAGTTTTTAATCTATTTTTTTAAATAAATTGTTAATAAAAAATGATTACAGTTCATAGAATAAAATAAAATTTGTATCACGTTGTATTATTACTACTAAACATGTATATTTAATTTACATTTGTACTCTGTGTCCAATTGTGCGTTTATTATAATTATCCATAAGGCATAAAGTAAAATTAATTTTTTTTAAATATTTTATATAACACTAGGTACCATCACCATGTTGTAAGATAGCATTATCCTCGTTACCCATCAACCTATAATAAAAAAACTCCTTACGAATGGTTTTCCGAAGTGACTATAATACAGCTGTAAAAAAAACTATTACCGTCCATATATCAACATTATAAAAACTTATTTTATGCTATTTTAATTTTTATACTTATAATAGCACTGAATAGAATAACTGATATACCTTTGAGTTATGATTTATAATCGTAGTAGTAATTATTATGATTCCATACCGTTTGGAGAGCTATACAGTTTATGTTTTGCTTACCAATTCATTTGTCACCAAGACAGTAGTCCCGATGGGTAACCATCTGCATATCTTTAATCGTAGCATTCACAAACGTACAACCTAAAATAATGAATGAAAACATATCTTATAGTGAACGTAATAATAATTATCGCATCAAATATTTTATCATAAAATCGATTCTGAAAAACGTGACCATTAATTTGTTCGTCAATAAATAGTATGTGTAAATGGTCACTCACGAGTCACGACAATAATAATAAATAATAATTACTTACTATTATAATATTTCAGAAACCTAATATTATGTTGTATCGGACTTCTGTTTTAGAGCCGATTTCTCTGGATAAGTTGGCTGTGGATAGAACGTCTCTATTTTATAGGCTTGATGAGGCACTTCAAAATTCGCAAAGCGGCGGGTTCAAAACTAGATTTTCGTCGACGAGGTGGGCGCAGGGAGAGCGAAGGTTTGCTTGAAACAATTTTGCTGCAGATGTTTTCCGGGACTTCTCGCTCACGAAGGGGAGCTGCACAATATAATAATATTATATTATATACACCTATAAATTTACGTGATATACACTCTTTACTTTCGTGTTTAATGGTCGTTGAGAAGTCAAATTAATTATACCGATTCGTTGAAATGGTAAATAGAACGACGTTATTCGGCAGCATGGTATAAAACTGGTAGTTGTTTTCATGTGTACGCGCGGTGTCCTTCAACTTACTTTTTATGCAGTGATGTCCGGGAAGGGGGGAGAGGCTCGTATAGGGGTTGGCATTTTAACACGAATTTGGCCGTTTGCGTGACGCCCGCTGACCTATAGACAACAGGAGCCAGGAATGAGAATTTCGACACACGCATGTAATATTCTATTGATATCTATAACAAAAGAAAATTTGATAAGTATAAGTCTTGACCGATTTCAGTCTTGGGGGTTTCGTTTCGTGCGAACATATAAGCAAGCGGTTTTCGGCAGGGCCGACTTGCGAGTGAAATCCTGAAAATTATTACTATTGTCAAATGTGCGAAATACGCGTAAACCTAATATATTATTTATTTTTACCTTTTTCGTAGCGAAAAACTTAATGAATATTAAAATGTATGAAAATCAAGTGAGAATTTTTTTATAAACTTAAGTACATTCAAGTCTTGACTGTCCAAAGGAAGGCTTCATTAAAAATTATTTAATGATTTTTTTTATCTCAACAAATTTTCTTTAATGAAATATATAGGTATATTTATTATATTCACCTCAGAATCGAAAATAAATAATTATACTGCACTTATCCACTATATAAATATATATATATATATCAATATGCAAGTTCAAGTACAGTGATCGTCCATAGGTATTATGTATAAATGCGACTATAATAATATACAAAGTAAAATATTGAGAGATGATATTATATTACAATTTTAACTTGCCGATAAATTACGCAAAAGTACGCTTATTCGTCGAATGATACTCAAACAAGTATCGTAAATGGTAAATATAAGACTTGATAATGAACTCTGTCAACTAATTCAAGAAACTATTAACATAAGTGAACTAATGCATATGACTATAAAATATATAAACATAACAGTCGCAAATTGATGAATATAGTTGAATGCAAATAACGTGATCACCGGCTAATAAAAACAAATGAAAGATATTTTGATAATGACATTTCGACACACGCACAAAGTATAGAGTGTGATATCGGTTCTAATAATTTGCTTAGGTAGTTACTAATTAGGCCTTTGATTATTCGTGCACACGTTTCAAAAATAATACGATGAATTATGTAAAATATTGTTTTTGTTCCGTCTGCATATGTAAATACATTAATATAAGATTAATATATTTAGGGTGATTAGTCAAGCACATTATGCTCACTTCCATTTTTTTTGTTGAATAATGAATTTATTTTAAATTCTGATTTTTGGAATTTTTAATATTCTCAAAGGCCATAATGTTTTCAAAATCTAAATAAACTTCCGTGTTTAAATGTGAAGTCCCATTTTTATGTAAATTATTGAGTGGATAATTTTTTTGAATTTTTTTATTGCACATAATTCAAATTTTGAAAGAGTATTTTAGCAGATACTAAAATCTTTAACCTAACCTTAGAATAATTATCCTTAAAAATGGTTTTATTAAAATAAATGTGATACTATAAATACATAGGTACCTAGTGTTAAAAATTATCTGTTAAATAATTTACAGTAAAAAAAGGAATTTTCTCGTTAAAACAAAAACAGAAGTTTATAGAAACATGACACTCCTTAGTCATTAAGTAGTACAAAAAATCTCAAGAATTTAAAATATGGTCTTTGAGTATATTTAAAATTATTCCAAAACTTAGTATTTGAATAAATAAATAAATAAAAAATTGGGTGATTAGTCTAATTTGAGAATCACTCTGTACCTATATATAATATCAAGACAACCGTGTAGCAGTTGAACGAAATACTCACTTAATAACACAAAATTAACGTGGACACATTTTCGTTTTACTCTGTACATTATATACATAAAAATATATGGGTAATACCCATGTAGGTAATACAAAACAATAATATGACATACAATTTTATTATTTTATAGAACGAAAAAAATTAAAAATATTTATTAACACGAGTGGAAACTGCTACAAATGTTGAACACGGTATACATTAATACAGACACTTAGGTACAGACTATTGTACTCGATTTCAAACGGTGCGCACCAATAAATAATAATTAGTCGAGTTTCGATACATGCAAATCGGTGCAATTATAAAAATACTCTGGTGTTGTAGCTTCACACGTATTGTTATAGTGGTGTCAATTGAATATTCATAGTTATCGAAAGATGTGATAACAATAATATTTTAATGATATTATATTACATTCGTTGACTGAATACTAATCGACGTGCGTATATTATTATCGTCCTATATTATACCTTCGGCATTATTAGTTGTTGTTCAACGACGTGGTAATAATTATTGTTTTACCGCATCATACGTAGATATCTAGTCTTTTACCACAAACTTGTTTTTATACTTCCATATTGTTATATGTTGTTATAAATAATAATAATAATAATACATCGTAAAATATTTCTTATTTTGAAATCGTCTTTAATCGAATCCCAAGCGTAGGACCAATACTCAATAGTTAGTGAAATTAAATCAATCGAGCATGACTAGTTAACGAATCTATGAGTGAGAAACTCAGAATATCCGAATATAAAATATCGAGGAAAACAAATATGTGTCGTATAGGAGATTAAGAAGTTGGGGAAGACGATACAGCTCTGTTGTAATGCAGTAGGTGTCGGAAGGGGCTAACTTTTAGCCCTATTTGGGTAAATAGGTTTAAACGCACGTTTCTTTACTTTTGACCCCCTAAAGTACCAACTAGATTCACTTTAATACCAGAAAATATCTTGAAGTAGAAAATCGATGAATTTTTACTGCCTCGAAAGGTGATGAGAGACACAAAATAATTTTTATATTTAAAATTTAAAAATCACACATCTTTGTACAAGCAGTATACATTCATCTCTATCTGCTCAGAATTTAAAATATAAGGATGGAATTACCGATTTTCAAACTCACCTTTCTGTTTGACCATTCGTGGAAAATTGCAGTTGAAAATAGGACTTGATGATATGACGGTCTCGATTTTCAATAAACGCAAAAACAAATTGGTTATGCGTGTAAAAATAATAATAATAATCGAACATTCATTTTGAAAAACATGTGCATTGAATGTATGTACGTCATCAGTTATATAATAGACAAGTGGTATCAATAAAACGTTTTTAAATCAATGCATCTACAATAAGAAATAAAATAATAATATATAATAATATCTATTATTATTATTAAAACGAATCATCTACAATGTACTAATCATAATTCATAACGATGCTTAGGTGAATTCGTATAAGTTAATTGTGTTTTATTAATGACGAGGGACAAATGACGTGGTATGAGTGTATAACAAACTTTTTAAAAATATTTAAGTGAATGTACCTCATATTAGATACATTAATATTATTACTACACAATAACTTAAAAAACTAACTTAAAACTACTTGTAATATCTTACATTGCCCACGACGTATGGGTTGTTTTATATAATAAAATTATAATGCCTTTAATGTTTTAAACTTTGCCCGTATGCCGTATCATAATATATCTCGACACTAATATTATAACAAGTAACAACCATGGCATCTAGGTACACCGAAACATAACCGTATTGCGTGCCCCGTGTATTTTTTAATTATTTATATAGCTATATTTCTATCAAGGCATCAACATTCATCCGTACTTGTATTACATAGTTATTACTTATTAGTTATTTTGATATTTCGAATTTCGATACTCCAAAAATTATTGTAAACCATACTATTATACGTATTATAAAATTCGACTATCTTCGAAGTTTTTCAAATCGTAATAAATAATATCTGGCATGTTTAATAATAATATATGAGTCATAATCGTAGCATAGAATACCTAATAATAATAAATTTATAAATATACGGAAAATTATATCGCAGTTGAAGCGGGAAATGTGGGTTATAGCCTATAGGCACTTATACGCTCTACGACAACGTCTCAAACCGATAAGTTCTGCATGCACTCGATGACCTAAATTTATTGAGTTAACCGGCAATATAACAATATTTATTGTAAATTTACGATAATATTATTTTACATAGCCTTCGGGACACTTTTAAGTGTACCTAACGCCAAACTTCTGTACAGTACTCGAAAAGCTATTATATGTACTCGTAAACAATATGATAACGATATGATATTTTTATGTCACGAAGTAGGCACTCGGTATTGAAAGTTCTGTAATATAATATAAGTAAGTACAGAATAATGAACCTAGCATGGCCTCCCCCCCCCCCATTTTCTTCACTAATGCAGTTATTTAAAATATGATTTTTGGAATTTTTAAGTATACACCAACTTAAAGATCATATTTTAAAATTCTTAAGATATTATTTACTATTTATAAGGAGTACCTATCCTATGAAGTTACAAAATTTTGTTTCTCAAATGTCAATCCTCCCCCCCCCCCCCCTATCTACTATAAATTATTTAGTGGATAATTGTTCTGAACATTGCGTCGTTTCAAAATTAAAATTCATGGTTTTTCAGTTATTTAACTTTTTGAACAAAGTATAATTTGTTCGTGACAATGGGTTTGGAAGACATAATATTTCCGTTTAAAAATTGTTAGTAATCTAAAAGTCTATCGATATATTATTGTATAATTTGTGAAAATGTTCCAAGTATAATATAAATATTAGATCCAATATTACATCAATTTATGTTTTTCTAAAACCATTGTTAAAGATTTTTAATTATTTTTATGTGAATTTTAATAACTTGGAAACTAGAAGCGTAAATTTTAAATTGGGTGAATCAAAATTTTAAAAACATCATCCATCCATCTATTTTACAGTACTGCAAAAGATGGTTCTCATTCAAAAAACAGAAGTTTGTATCGCCATAGCCGAGAAGAGTCCTTAAGAGTTTATTTGAAAATATGGTCTTCAATAACATTATAAAATTTCAAAAATCTAAATTTGAATACATTAATTTTTAAAGAAAAACGAGGGAACCATGCTTGGTGAATTACCCTTTATATTTGGACAAGCATTTTTAAATCGATGCATAAATACGTTGAAAATTGGCTCGAAGACGTCGTCCGCGTTGTTGATGTATTATTGTTTATGTTCGTTTTTTGTCGTTTTCATATAAATAAGTATAATAATATAAGTAAATCATACTTTATTGATAAAATATTACTGTCATTACGACATTACTACATAGTAAGTTACATATTCAGAATGTTTATTATCAAAAATGCCGAAGAGTAGGACGTTGGGTTTCATATTATATGCACCACTACTATCACCGTCCACTGAAGTACCCATGTGCGTTCAGGACCGCCAAATAATATCAGTAATTCTGCCAAATTCTCATAGGTCGACTACATATGTAAGCTCAGCATTATTGATACTTATAAATTATAATAAATAAAAACTTCTTGAATTTAAAATACTCATAAATAGCTTAAAATTAATTAGACTAATCATTTTGAATTGCACTGAGTATTCAACTGATAATTTAAATAATATATTGGAATGTTTAAAGTGTCAACAATGTAGAACACAAAGCTACTATTTAAATTAATATATTATACTACAATAGTTTATTTTTATAGTTCCGATGATACAGATTATTTTTTAAAAAAAAATCCATGAAATTGTAATATTAATATTCTTAGACATAATTACAAATTTTTCAGTAATTAAATAACAAGAAAATAACATTTTTATGTGATGACTAATAATTATCGTTTCTTTCGGAGCATCATAACGTTATGGTCAATAAAAAAATGTTCAATATGTTGTTTGAATAATCAAAGCTACATTTAAAAATTAAATTTAGATTGCTTTCAAAATTGTGGCCGAGCTTGAAATAATGCAGCTACAGCACATTTGGCTCCCATATTTGACAACCCAAATTCCTTACAACATCATGCATAATTAGAAATAAAAGCCGATTTGAAACGTTTGACAAATGCTCATTGCATCATCATTCATCGTGTTTTCACACTCATCGCACGAACATCTTTCAATGTTGATCGACATATTGTTATTATTATCTTACTATAATACAGCGGAGTGGTTTTACTAGGTTTTTTTTGTAAGTAATTATTTATGAATTTAAAAAATTATTATTATTTTTTAATCGGTGATTTTATTAATTCATATGTATATTAATGTTGCAATATATATTATGAAACATTGAACACATATTTATATAAAAATCTAAATTTCTTACGCTTGCGATATTATATCATAAACATCTGTTTTTAAAACGGTCCTAATAAGAGTGTGTGATATTGTGATGTGTTCGGACTTCATTGGTTTATCTTTGTTGACCACATGTCTCTTATTCAATAAGTAGTGCATAATACGAGATTCAGACAAGCCATTGTATTACATCGACTAGTTACAAAATAAAAGTATTTAAATAATTATTTAAAAACTAAAAAAATGTATCATAAGTATTTAATTTTATTAATTTAGAGAGAAAGTACAAAATACAGAGTTCAATCTTCATTTATTTTATTTAACTTAACGTCTTACAGTCTTAGGTATTATATAGGTAATTGCTAATTTTTTGAACGTATTTTTTATACTCTTATTTTATAACTTAGGATAATATAATTTGGGGCCATGACAGTATTAATATTATTAATTATAATTACAATGTTTTTTACACATATTTTTAAATCTACATATATTTTAAAAAAAAAATATTATTTTTATAATTGAAAACTGTCATTGTATAAATAATAAAATATTTATTATGTAATTTACTGTTTTTACCTGTAAAAATATTGAGTTTTTTTGGTCAGGTAGGTTAAAAGAAATGGGGTTCTCCACCTGCGGCCACGAATTCTGAGACAGACGGACAAATATACACGACAGGTGTATAAACGAGTATGCACCCCTCAGATTTTCAACCCGGCAGTGTGGGATCAGGTAATAAAAAAAAGACAACTATTTTACGACGCTAACCAATAGACTCCCATCTATTGTTTGTTGAACATCAATCTTTACGAATTCCCAAACGGAATCCGGTTTTCTACAAAAATTTATAAAACTAAAAACGATAGTGTGTGAACTAAACGCGTCGTTTGTTGATTTAAATATACAAAAATGTGTGCCTCAAA